GCTATATAAACATTCAACACAGATTCTGCATCTGTTATATGTGTACCTTTATTTGTTTACTCCCATTGTTTTTCAGTCTCACCTCCTGCCCTGCTTTACCAATGACACTCATTTCATTGCTCAGCACATTGTGTGACTCTGGAACTAAAGTTACTGACCTGTGACCTTTCCTGTAATTTAAATCCATTCTCCTTTGTTAACTCTTCTAAGATAGAAAACAGGTCAGCTTGTTTTCTAGTGATCTTCATAAACCTGGCAACAAGCTAATTATTTTTTTCCTCCAGGTTAGTTTTTGTCATTTAAACAGCTTTTTAAAAAATCTCTCTTGTGCTGCCTTATCTTTAGAAATACACGATACTGTAAGATAAAAGTAATCTTTATGTTGTTTACAAGCATTTGTTACATAACATTAATTGCCTTCCTGATTTTCTTTACAGGTTCCTCCTGAATTTGATTTCTCTGCTCACAAATACTTTCCTGTTGTGAAGCTTGTTTGAGACTGAAAGGTGACCATTAAGGGGTAAAATCTACTTTCAGGCTCTACTCTTAGCAGATCCATCTATCAGTCTTACCACCTAATAGAAAGTGAAATGGATTTCTTGGATAAGAACCCATTGAGGAATTCTTTTAATTTGACAGCCTTATATGACATGAATGAAAACTGCTGTTTTAAAGTGGTTTATTATGTCCATGGATGAAACTGGTCTTGTTGAATGCATTGAGGAACCTTGTACGGTTTTATTACAGATTTAATCATAAATCATTTTTTATGAATGATTGGGTGAAAATAATGTTTGTAAAGGTTAATAAATTTCTTGACAAAAATGTATTACTAGAGATGAAAACAGTAGCACTTTGTTAATTCATGTTAAGAACGGAAGGTGTTTACTCTTTAACATTTGAGTAATTCAAACAAATTATCCAAAAGAAGTTCCAGGTCAAGGGACTTATTAAACACTTGTATGGGATTTTGGCAAAATACATTTGAGAAGGATTTTAGGAGGGACCTCCAAGGTATAGAGGGAGGCTAAATTACATGGGGATTGCTCATGTGATTTTTTTGTGTGTGTCATGACATCTTAAATTATGTACCTGTAAGAACGTAACTGTTTTTTAAATGCGTCTTTAACTGTTATTTTGGTACTTTTAAAAAGATTAAAGTTTAGACCAAGCCCCTGACAAGTACTTAGCACTTTTAGTTCTAATTTAGTTACTTGTTTCTATCTTCCAAGGGTAGTATAAACTTGAGAAGGGGACTTCATCTTTCTATAACCTGCTCATGCAATTAATGGAATGTGTATTTTTTTTTTAAGTATGTAAAACACATCCTGATGGCATTGAGCTGTCCTGGGTAAACTGAATGGAGAAGGTAACAAGGCCATTAGGGCAGCAGGCTGCCTGCCTTTTTCAGTAGGAGAATTACCTGATGGTAAGAACACAGGGCTGCTCAAAGTGCAGAGGAATTTGGAGGCAGCAGGTTGGAGTCTGGTGCCTTGCCTTTAAACAGTTTGCTTCAGCTAATGAAATCGGTTGATTTGATATCTGCAAATCAGTCTAAGCAGAAGTTGGTATATCAGATACATTCAAATCTTAAGGAAAGTAGAGAATCAGAACTGGTTGCTTTTGCAGTAAGGGACCATAAAATAAAACTTGAGATGACTATTTTTGTCATCCTACAGATGCCAAAGATGCTTTAAAACTTTGCTTTTGAAGACTTGTAGTGACCTGGCTGAGATACTGAACCAGTCCACCTATACATTTATTTACATTGTAAGGTGGTGTTTTGTTTTTTTTTTCTTTTCCTGCAGTCCTCTGCTAATAATGCCTCCCATTCCTTACATTTAAAAAGGATGTAGCCCTGGCCAGGTGGTTCAGTTGGAGCATCATCCTGTGCACCAAAAGGTTGTGGGTTGGATCCCTGCTTGGGGTGCACGTCAGAGGCAATTGATCAATGTTTGTCTCCTTTCCTCTCTCTAAAATCGATACATATCCTCAGGTGAGGACTAAAATTTTAAAAGAGGATGTATCTGCTTTTTGGAAGGTCATGTAAATTTATTAAACAACTCTGAATTTCTAAATGCCCACAAAAATACAGAACAGTATCTGTAACCTTCTGCATATAATTCAAACATTAAGCCACATTTAAAGGAAGGCGTGGTACTTTGTTCTGATCATAGATATGTCACCTGTTGAGTTCTAGAATAATTTTTTAATGAGTCCATCTCAAAAAAGCTAGAGCAAGACTGTTCTTTCCAGGCAGGAAGAGGGAGGAGGCAGTTGTAGGCTGCTGGTTGAAGTCACAGAACTATCTGAAATCATACTCAGATGTTAAATGAAAATGCAGCAGCTTTTTTGGAAAATGAGTTAAAACACCTAGGTACATTAAACGTGAACTTTAAATGTGAACATAAGATAAAGGCAGATATGGTACATCACCCTTTAATGGACGTGCCGTTACTGTCATTTCACAGCTTCAAGAGCAACAAATTAGTAAAAAGCAAGGAACTCTTCGACAAAGACTCTGGCTCACCTCTTACAGCTAGGTGGGTTTTCATCTGAATTTGTGTTTAGCATTCATTCAAAAGACATTCGTTAGTCTGAATCTGTTTATGAAGCTCCTGAAGGCAAATCCTCAGTTATATGGAAAATTAAGTTACCTAGGACCACATCTCTGATCAATCACAATAATTTATTTGGACTTAAGAGTCACATATTTACCAAGCACCCAACATAGAACTGGCATCTCTGTAAGGATCTAAGTGATATAAGCAATTTATGGTCTGTGTCACTCAACTCGGGACAAGGTAGCACTTTAAGGAGTAAGAATAAAAAGCAAGCACTTGTCTCAACTGGTTAGGGCCTTGGTTTGTAAAACTCGTTATCTGAAGTGTGTGTATAGTTTAAAGATGAGAATATTCAAAGTCATTTAACTTTTCCAGAGATATGCACCAATAAGGATAAAGGCAGTTTTAAGTGCACGGGAAGATACCTGCTTACAGTAATGCTTCAGTGTATACACATTGGAACTTTACAAACCAGTTTTTAAAGAACAGTGGCTTAATACACTTTAAGAAAGTGTTGCTCTCTGTGTTAAGAAATAGCCTATGAATACACAAACACTTAAATACACAATGAAAATAAACTTTTCCCAACTTTCTGACAATAATGAATATTTTCAATGTCTAAGCTAATACATGAAGAAAAGGTTAATATAACCCAGTTAATGAAACCTATTTATTTTAAACTTATATTTTTTCTAAAATTAATTTCAGATGTCAGAAGCTGTTTGGTGTCCTATAAACTATCATTTATAATTAATAATCTTTTAGGCAAAAACATAATGGGAATAGAATGATGCCCACTGGACCATAAAGGACTCTGAATTCTCTTCATCATTCCAGGTTCTACTATGAATGGATAACCAGCTCTTAATTGATTAACACAATCATGCTAGTTATCAGTCTAGTTATTTACCAACAACATAATGAATAGTTTATTCTCAAGCTTCATCACACAAACATACATACATAAAGTATGTGCCATGGTTAAACAACTCAGGAAATCTAATCCAAGGTTGCTTAGGGAGTCTCCACCTGCAGTCTCACCTGCAGGAGAAAAGATATAATGACTCCACTCCAGTGCAGAAACCATTTGAGAGAAGACAGTGGGAATTAAACAGAGTTCATGCCTGTTAAAAATTAAAATAGCCGCTGATTTAATTTTGGGTAACACCAAAAGACCAAGATCACAGGTTTGACGTCTACCTGATGCTTATTGCACAGGTTTTTGTTTTGTTTTTTAAATAGCCATGATATAAATTTTTGCCTCAGAATAGATGCCTGTGATCCCAGAGGAAGCCAGCGGTAAGAAAGCATGACTGCCGGGAAAAACGGCTCCAAGTGCACACCTGCTGAGTGAACCGCCTTTGGATGCCTCTGTAAATGAAGATGGATTCATCATGGGTTATTCTTTATGTTGACATTCCATCTCCCAAATTTAAAAGCTGCTTCTTTAGCGATCAAATAGGGGATGAAAGGAAAACTGAAAATAGTTTTAAAAGCTGAACAGAGTATTTCATTTCTCAGCAACTCTATGCATATTGATTAAACATGAAACGAATGGAAGCTTTATTTGAGAAAGCAAGAGGACTTAAGATAAAATCTTACAAAGCTACTTTTACACTCTTCTTCAGTTGCCTTTTCTGGGTGAAGTTTAATCTTAGTGATTAGATAAAAGGATACCATACATGAAAGTTCAGTTAGAGATCTTAACCTGAACGCAAAGCCCATCCTGCCTTCCATGACTGCCAGGGGCACAGCAAGTCCACACAGGTGTGAGGCAGGTTGTGCTTCGTAACTTCTCTGGGCCCCAGTTTCCTCTCTGAAAAGGAGGGAGTTCCACCACATGACCTGTAGAGACTGTATCTCTAATCCTGTAATTCCAAACACATTTTAATAAGCGCCCCCACCCACCTACCCTTTGTTTAGAGAGCCCCTATAAAAGCTCTTAGTGTGACTTTGCCAGTCATTCCCAAGAGGCAAAAGCCTGTTCACCTGAAATATTAAGGACCAATACAAACCAAACCTATTGCTATTATCAATGTAAATTATGACTGGTTATTTTCATATGAATATTAACTTTTGCTTTTTATATCAGTTTTGGTAGTTACCACAAGCTAAATGTGTAAACTATGACAAAAACACTGTTGGCATTTCTCTTGCCTTTCTAAACTAGTACATACCCTTCAACACCAACTCTCTTTTCCTCCAGTGAAGTAGGCAGTTGTCAGTTTGTCCTCAACAAACCCGCCCTGCAGTGCTGGGCTGCTCTCACTGCTCTGCAGCGGGCACCTGGGGTCACCTCTGCTCTGGCCCCCATTGTGTCCAAAGTCTAACCCACTCATGGCTTTTCTTGGTGATACGGACTTACTACAGAAGATTTCACTTTGCCCACACATATTAGCTAAGTATAGATCACAGGTTTTCAAATTACAAGCCACTTAACATTTATGACAAGGGCTATTATACACGTAGTCTCTTTAAAAATGCTCCCACCAAACACCTGGGTATTTATACTGTTAGTGGTGTTTGTGTAAACAGTCGGTGCTCCAAGCCACTGAGTGCGGGAACCGGAAATGGACATGCGAGAGCATAAACCAGTAATCCAGTGCTCACCAGGAAGAACAGAAATGACAGGCTGGTGCCCTCACTCGCCACAGTGTTTGGAGAAGAGAACGACTCAGGAGGAACTGAAGAGAAGGAGTTCTCTAAGTGCAGCAGAACCTTTCCTTTGCATCAGAAGATGGATTCTTCCTACAGGCTTGCTTTTATTTTAAATGCAGATCCTAAAGTAAGAAGTGCCACTGTCAGTATACTTTGAGAATTTGTGTTCTATTTTTGGTGTTGATCTTCTCATGAAATACCTATTACCCAACAAAGTTTAACATCTTTAATAGGGATGCTTCAAAAGTAACCCCCAAAAAACATCTAAAAGACAATCTCATTTTCCTACATAAAGTACATGCTAAAATTCCACAGTCATCATCTTCAGATGTATATTTGACTTAGTACATATCACAGTATTCAATTCCTTGTGAATATTCTGTGGTTATCGCTGTTCAATCCTGACACAGAAGTATGTGATTCCAGTTTGATTCAGAGTATGTGATTCCTCTTTTCATGCTCATCAAGTAAATTTATTGTCTCTCTTCTGATTTTCAGCATTAAGAACTAAAAAGGAAAAAAACAAAAAAAACCCATAACATCCTAATTAAACATTTTGAGAAACCAGCCCAGGCAGATCCCATTTGACATAAGTATCTAGAAACTCATAAAGAAGACTATCTCCTATAGCCACATTATAATGGAGAATTGCATTCCTACGAAAGACAAGATCACAAACAAGACCACGCGTATAGCCAATAAGGTGCTGTGAGACAAAGCTAAAACACCTGAAAATGCCATATTGAAATGTTTGAAATAGTGAATACCCCATGTCCCATAAAATGGATAAAATTACTCAAAGTTTGTGATGCTATCAATCCGCACATGCTGTGTGACTTCTGTTTGTGTCCCTCCACCAGGAAAGCACACTGCCTCCTAAGAGCCAGCTGCAGCTTTGGTCAGCTCCGGCTATCCCAAAGCTCTTCCCTCACAGAGCTCCAGGGGAGTGGCTTCCACCATCCTTACTCTGTCCTTGGGCACAGAGGCAACAGAAAGGACATGTCAAAAATCAGGCCCAAAATCAGTATGAGATTTACAACTATTAACGCACTAAATTTTCAATGATTTTATTAATTGACTGCCTTAAATTACTACTGTATTACAAAATTGGAGCTAATGCCTGTTTCTTCTACTGTTCCCAGCACCATTTTAAGATGGCAATCTTAAAATGATTGTTGATGACATTTCTTCAATGTGAAACTCTTTCGTAAAGGAGCTGACAAAGCATTTATCCTACCTTGCTTCCTCCCTCACTTTTTTTAAAGCCTTGCACAAGGTCCAATCCTTAGGACAGCTGGGTTGTAGGAAATGAAAGAGTACAAGACTTCACTGCAAAGCCACACATGTAGGACAATGCTAGGCTCATTTAAAAGTATGGTAAACAACTGTAAGACAGTAACCACATCAGAAAACATGCCATTCAAGAGCTGAGGTCCTACACAAATGAGTATAAAATTTTTTTGAAATCTGTGCATGGCAAAATACACCGTTGGGCAAAATCAAGAAAAACTGGGAGAAGGTATTTGCAACTTAGTATCACAGATAAGGAGCACTCTCTCTAGGACATAAAAGCACTCTTAAAAATGGACAATTAAAACACCGAGAATCTGATAGAAAAAATAAAATGCTGAATCCTTAGGTTCACAGTAATACTCAAGCAAATCAGTATGTGTATGTATAAGTGTGTGTTGAGGGCAGGGCGGGCGGGGGGTCCTTAAAGACATTAAATACACGTGAAGTTGACAGAATCAGTCACCATTAGACAAGGGTTTTCAGTGGATGGCAAAGCCACAGTGTGTGAAAGCACCCCCTCTATGGGGGTATGGCGTGCAGTGTGATGGAAGTAATTAGCATGCCTTATGATACAGGAGAGTGGGTCCTAAGCGTTCTCATCACAAGGAAAAAAAAACTTGTATCGCTGTGAAATAGTGGATGTTAACTAAACTTACTGTAGTAATCATTTCACAGTATACATAAGTGAAATCATTATGCTATACAACCTAAGCTTATCCAGAGCTGTATGTCAGTTATATCTCAACAAAAATGGAAAAAATGCATCCCATTCTAGATGACATATTAGTTACATGGGAACATGGACTTGCGCAAGGGAGAGACTTGGTGGGCAGCCCCTAACCAAGCCATCAGCCTGCCATCACACGCCTCCTGGTGTGAAGCAAGAGGGACATACTGCAGCTGCAAAAATGTCCAACCTGAATCCAATCACAAAACAGACAAATCCAGAATCTGATACATCCCACTGGCCTGGACTCTTCAAAATCATAATACTACAAAGTGCTACTACAAAAATCTGCCCGGAAGCTCTGTGCATATTTATTGGGGCTTTTTGGTTGGTATTAGAGTGATCACATGATGACCTGGCCATTTTGTTGGGAAATCCCTAAACGTCCCTGAAGACAAATCCTCCAACTGAGTCCCTCCCAAGGGCCTGAGCCCCACTGAACAACTGGACTTCATTCTGGGCTCCTGAACCCGGTACCTCCTTCCACTACCCCCCTAGTCAAAAGCCTCTGAAGAAAAGTCACTCCAAAGGTGGAAGGACAACAAAGTCGATCATTACAACTGCATCGAGAACAAGGTGCCACCACCCCCACCACAGGTATTACCGTTCACGTTTCTGTCGTTCCCTGCAAGGGCTGCCTGCTTGTCTGTCTCCGATTCTGCCTCATTTTCATCCGTGTTGTAGTCATCATCTCCCATTTTTCGCTGGTTTCTCCCTGTAAAATCGGTGCAGATACATAAAATACGGACTATGTCGTTTCTCCCTTGATGCCCCAGAAACACCAGAGCCCAGATACTGGGACTATCCCAGTCATGGCTTCACAGTCAAATCTTTTTGCTGCATCTGAGGAACTGACAGGGACTCACATGTGTGCTGCTAGTACAGATAGCATGTAGGAGGTCTCCACTTACGTATGTCCACTTCAACTCAGTTCATAGAAAATGGGATAACTAACTAGCTAGCTGAACCCAAATCCCAGTTTCATTTAAAGATACAATCAACTTAAGGTTAGAAGACAGCACTGTCTTTGTAAACAACAGATTTCTAGTTAATAATGGCACCTCTTTAGAATAACTCATTGCTCCAAAAGAAGGAAATAGAGGGGCTGTTGTGAGCCAAAGGAAACAATTTTCCATCATACATACAAAATGGGATCATTCATCACTACATTCATCCGTGGAGAGAACAGCAACCAGAAAAGACCAGGACAAAAGACATTCAACAGACATAGCTATAGGGTTTAATGTAAATGTTATTTGTATACAATATAAATAAAAGCTTTTTTTTTTAAAGCATGTTAGCAAAGTCAGCTCTGGTTATATTTCTCTGCACTCACTGCCTGAGGTAGAGACGAAGCCAGGCTTGTGTTCCCTGCGCTTCATTCTGCAAAGCAGATCACAACTGCGCCCAGAATGAGGTGCATCCTTGTGCCACATGGTAGGTCCTGCAGCCCTGCCAGCTGGTACACTGTGTGACCTGCTGCTGAGTGGTGTGACGGCAGACTGCCATCAAATCAGCCACCTGAGGGTTTCCCCCCCCAATTATTATATATATATATATATTTTTTTTTTTTTAACCATCACCCAATGACACTTCATTGCTTTTTAGAGGGAGAGGAAGGGCGAGAGAGAAGCATCAATTGGTTACCTCCTGTGCATGTCCAGACTGGGGATCATACAAGTCAGGACTGGGGGGGGGGGGGGGGGCGGTCACACGTGCCCGTGCCTGAGCCCAGGTCCAAGCCAGGGATCAACCTGCAACCTAGGTATGTGCCCTGACCAGGAGCTGAACCTGCAACCTTCATGTTTACAGGATAACACTCCACGCAACTGAACTACACCAGCTAGAGCTCAATTCTTGAACTGAGAACACATTCTTCAGAAAGAGAAACTTGAGAGAAAATTAGATTTAAATGGAATCGGGGTAACTTCTACAAATAGACACATTCCCCAACTTCTGTTTCTTGGTCATTCCCAGAGCACAGGTGTCTTCTATTTAAGCACCTCTGGCTCAGCTGGGAATGAAATTTTTCACATCTTCAAGAAACCAAAGTACATGCCAGAACATTCTGTCAGTCTGTTTCCCACACTTTAAAAAAGAAAAAAAGTCAACTAAACCAGAAAGGTGGGGTTCACATGTCCCTATATTCCTTCCTTCCCTCCCTCCCTCCCTCTCCCTCTTATCAATATTAAGCACCCATCAAGGTCTTCCACCTCAAATGCCCCCTCACTCCCTGTGAGTATTATTTCTGAAAACTCCAGGGGAGCGCACTACTGTCCCCTCCTCCTGCCTCCCACTTGATAACGGTTACCAAATAAACCAAATGAACCTTGTGGGAACCCTTCCCGTGTCAGCAAGGAGACTGGGAAGCAGCGGGCGGCCCACCGTGCCTCACCCACCTTCCTCGCTGGCTCCTGGCTCCTCCTGCCCGTCCCAGACCACAAGCTGGTCCCGCTCAGGCTCCTCCACCTCCTGATTTTCCTGGCTCACCAACAGGGCGGCTGGCACCTGGGGGGTTGGGCCAAGGTCTCCAGCATCACCCATTGCTCTTCCGCCCGCAGGTCTGTCTGCTTCCACAGCCTGCTCTGGGTGTGGCTCCCGGCGCGGCCCCAGGCTGTCCCTCCGCAGCTCCTCCTCGCTGCCGACCTGAATGTTATTGGTTTCCTCTGGGCACAGAACATCGTTAGCTGTGACCTCACTGGCACTTCATTAAAACAAAAGCCCTCGCACCACCCGACTCCCAGAGCCCTCCCGGGGGCTGTGAACGCGTGCAGCAGCTGGGTCATTTAACAACCTCAGCAGAAGCCTCCAGTTCTCTCCATCCCTGCAGTTCACCTTCAGAACCAAGAGGGCAAAAAGTGGTTTAGAAGAAAGAAACCTAGACTAAGTTACCGTGATTACAACGACAACCTACCGGTGGGGAAGGTATACTGCTGAGGTTACCTGGTCATCATATGTTCGAGACAAGTACTTGGGAGCTGCTGACAGGCGCACAGGACTCAGCCATCACCCCTTGGTCCCACAGTTCCCCCAACATCCTGAATAAAAATACAGCCTAGACCTTTCTTTACCTGGCTGCCACAGAGCAAGGCACTTACTTTACAGGGATGAGACCGGTAAGACAGAGGAAGCCCTGCGGCCCCAGTTCCAGGTGCCCAGAGACACCTGCCCCCTGCAGCCCCGCTATAGAGCTCACTGCCTGCCTCCAGCAGCACTCTCTGCTCTCGGACTATTTGTCCGGAGTGGACGGTTTAAAAGGCCACTGCGTTTTTTGTTTGTTTGTTTGTTTTATTTGCATGGGGCTCTGAAGAGGGTTTAAACATGTGATCAAGTTTCACTTACCTTTCTCACTCTCTCTCCTCAAATCCAAAGCCACCTCAGAACTGGGGGCTGGAGTCTGGGGCGTGTGGTTACTGGGCATATTTCCCTTGGCTTGTGTTCCCTCCGCCTGGGGCAGGCCTGCTTCCTGCAGCCTGGGCTGAGGTTCACTGGATGCTCGGAGCTGAAATGGGAGCACAGGGCAGCCAGGGCAAGTGTGACTAGAAACCTTATAACAACCCCGAGCACACAATGGACCACCACGCCCTTCTACCCAGAACGTGCCCCTCGCCTGGCATAAACCAGAAGACCTGAGGTTGAGTCAAGATCTCCCAGGTGTACCTCAAGAATAAATCAACAAGCAGGCAGAAGGTCAGCAGGGAAAAAGAACACTTGAACGACACTAGAAACTAGACAGAACAAACATTGATAGAACACTTAAGCCAACAAGAGCAAAATATACTTTCTCCGCAAGTGTACACTGAATATTCTCCAGGACAGCCAGGTGCTAGGCCACATAACAAGCCTCAACAAATTTTAAATGACTGAAATCACATAAAATGTTTTCCAGTCACAGTGGAATGAAATGATCAACCATAGCAGAATGAAGTTTGAGGAAGTCACAAATATGTGGAAATTAGGCAACATATTCCTAAATAACCGATAGGTCAAAGAAATCACCAGGCAAATTAGAAAGTACTTGAGAAAAACTGAAGCAAAAAACACACCACACCAAACTTATGGGAGGCCACTAAAGCAGTGCTTAGAGGGAAATTTACAGGCTTACATTAAGAAAAAAGAAAGATCTCAAATCAATACCGTAATCTCTCACCTTAAGATACTGGCAAAACAAAAGCAAACTAATCCTAACTCACGAGAGGACATCCTAAAGATTAGAGATGGACTTAATAAAATAAGGGGAAAAAAACTAATAAAACCAAGTTAGTTCTTTGAAAATATGAACAAAATTGACAAATCTCTAGCTAGCTTAACTGAGAAAGAAGAGAGAGTAGACTCAAATTACTAAAAATCAAAAATGAAAGGGGACAGCAATACTAACCATACGCAAGAAAGTATTACTATTTTTAAGGGACTACTGTGAACTGCTTGTCATCAAGACTGTTAACTTAGAAGAAATAGACACATTCCTAGAAAGAAACAAACTACCAAAACTGACTCAAGAAGTAGAAAATCTGAGTAGACTTACAATAAGAAGCTGAATTAGTAAGTTAAAAATTACACCCCCCACAAAAAAAGGCTCAAGCCTAAAGGGCTTCACTATGAATTCTACCAAACATTTCAAGAAGAATCAATACCAAATCTTCACAAACTCTTCCAAAAAACAGAAAAGGAAGGAATACACTCCAAGTCATTTTATCAGCTCACTATTACCAAAGCCAGACAAAAGCATTACAAAAATAAAACTATAGATCAATATCCCTTATATTGACACCAAAATCAACAAAATACTAGCAAATCAAATCCAGCAACACATAAAAGAATTATACACCAAGTGGGATTTACCTCAGGAATACAAGGTTAGTTCAACATCTAAAAATCAATCAATGTCATACCATATCAATAAGGATCAAGGACAAAAAATACATGATCATCTCAGATGCAGAAAAATGTTTGGCAAAATGCAACACGTCTTTTTGATAAAAAACACTCAACAAATTCAGAGGGGAACCTTCTCAACTTGATAAACATAGAGCTAATATCAAACATAACAGTGAAAGACTAATGCTTCCCCTCTATGATCAAGAACAAGACAAGGATGTGTGCTCTTACTGCTTCTATTTAACACTGTACTGGAAGTTCTAGTCAGGGCAATTTAAGAAGAAAGAGAAAAGGCATACAGATTGGAAAGAAAGATGTAAAACTGCCTCTATTTTTATATGACATAATCTTGTATATATAAAATCCTAGGAAATCACACACACACAAAAAACCTGTTAGAATAAACAAGTTCAGCAAGTTTCCAGGATATGAGATAAATATAAAAATAAATTTCATTTCACTAACAATAGATAACTTGAAAATGAAATTAAAAAAATTCCATTTATGATAGCATCAAAAATATTTAGAAATAAATTGAATGAAAGAAGTGCAAGACTTCTGAAAAATATAAAACACTGTTGAGACTTTTAAAGGACTTCAATGATTGGAAAGACATGCCATAGTCACACGTCGGAAGACCTGATGTTGCTAAAATGGCAGTGCTCCCCGAACTGATCTACAGGTTCAGTGTGATCTCTCAAAATCAACAGTGCTGCTAAAGTTTCTGCTGGAAGTCAACAGAAGTAAAATAGCCAAAATAATCTTGGAAAAAAAAAGAACAAATTTGGAGGAATCACTCTTCCTGGTTTCGGTGCTTATAAAGCTACAGTAATCAAAACTGTGAGGTACTGAGATAAGGAGAGACAATGGAATAAAAGTGCGAGTCCAGAAATAAATCCTCATGTTTATAGCAAACTGATTTTTGACAAGATGCTGAGACCAGTCAATGCAGGAAAGCATAGGATTTTTTTTTCCCCCCAACAAATGGTGCTGAGGCAACTGGATGTCCAATGCAAAAGAATGAAGTTGGAGCCCTATTCTCAGAGCATATAAAAATATTAAATTCACTCAAAATGGATCACAGAACTAAATTTAAGAAATAAATGTGAAGAACTATAAAACTCTCAGAAGAAAATATAGGAGTAAATCTTCATGACCTTGGGTTTGGCAAAGTATTTTTAATTATGACATCAAAAAAATAAGCTACACAAGAAATAAATATGACTTCATCAAAATTCAAATTTTTTGTTTCAATGAACAGCAACAAGAAAGTGAAAAAACAACTCGTAAAGTAGGAAAAAAATATTTGCAAATCATGTATCCAGTAGTTTTAAATATGTATGAATATATAAAGAACTCTTACAACTCAATAAAAAATAACCTTAAAAATGGACAAAAGATCTGAATAGACATTCCTCTGAAGAAGATATACAAATGGCCAATAGGCACCTGAAAAGGATTCTCAGTATCATTAGTTATTAGGAAAATGCAAATCCAACCTACAATGAGGTGCCACTCCACATCCACTACGATATCTATAATGTAAAAGATAGCAACAAGAGTTGACAAGGATATGGAGAAGTTGGGACCCTCATAAACTGCTAGTGAGAATGTAAAATGGTGTTACACTTTCCAAAAATAGCCTGGCAGTTTCTTGGAACCATAAACAGTTACCATGATCCAGCAATTCCACTCTTAAGTATATACCTAAGAGAAATGAAAACTTATGTTCTCCAAAAATGTGTACACGAATGTTCATAGCAACATTGTTCATAATAGTCAGAAACTAGAAAAATCCAAATAACTATCAACTGACAAATGAATACAGAAAAATGGTACAGTCATGCAATGGAATATTATACAACCACAAAAAAATAAAGCTACAACATGGATGAGCGCTGAATGTATTATGCTAAGTTAAAGAAGTCAGACACAAAAGGCCACATATTTTATGATTTCACTGATGTGAAATGTCCAGATTGGGCAACTCAACAGAGACAGAAAATGGACTGGCGAGCGTCTAGGGCTCTGGGGATTTGGGGTGAGAAGTGAGCTAATGAGTGTGGGGTTTCTTTGGGGATAATGAAAATAATCTAACATTGACAGTGATGATGATTTCACAACTTTGTGAATATACTAAAACCCAATAAATTATGCATACATACGGGATATGGGTGAATTATATGGTATATAAATTATACCTCAATAAAGCTGCTATATTTTAAAACAAAAACGAAGTTCTCCCAGGAGCCATCTCATGGGCTGTGCATTACGCAGGAGGCAGCCTGAGGCACAGGCTCTGATGGGCTCCACCGCTGACCAGGAGGCGTAACCTTGGCCGTAGCATTTAATAGCCATCTTCATGGGCCCCGGCACCCTCAAAGCAGGCAAGCAACGGTGACTCTCTCCCAGGGGGGCGGTGAGCTTTCAGTGAAGTGATCCTGATACAGCCTGGAGCCCAGGGCCTGGGGCCAGAGGCAGCCTCCCCAGTCACAGCCCCAGCATCCCAGGGCCAGGCCGTGTGCCTCAGGGAAGCAAACCCACTTGCAAGAGCAAAGAACAGAGCAAACCAGGCAGCAGAAAAGATAGCAAAATGCCTTCTGGAACTCCTTGGCAGAAAAATTGAGAAAAATTACCTGCTGGCTTTGTTCCTTTTTTTTACTCAGGTCTCTGGAAGCCACAGCTTCGTTCCCCTTCTTGGTGACTTCTTCTATCTGCTCCTCACACTGCTCCTTCACCTCTTTCATCTGATTGATGCACTGGCTCCTTTGGTGAAAGAAGGAAAAGGACAAATATCTACAGGTGTGTCTCCACACCACGCGTGTCCCTGCTGTGCCTGGGAAATCCACTTCCACAAGAGATTTGATGAAGTCATATTTATTCCACAGCTCATCTTTCTCCTGCTCTGGTCGGTTAATCTAAAGACAATACCTAAGGCAGGGCAATGTGTGTTTTCGACTACTAAATGACAAGAAAACGGTAGCTGATTAAAACCTACTATGAATATGTCACCTTGTTCTAAAATAGGCAAATTTTATTGGTTAGGGAAAAAAAATTTAAATATAATCTAAATTTAAAAAAAAATTCAGTCTTTATTCCCAGCTATTGGCACAGAGCTCCTAATACCCTTGGAATTTCCAGAGCAATAGGAGCAGCTTCTGTTACAGTGAGCCCTTGTAGACCATACCTGACTTTATGCTAATGAACTGACTCGCTGAGCCTACCAAGCTTTAGGATGGGGCTGCTGGTCTGAAGAACCAGTCCCGTGATCAGAGGGCTAGAACTTTCAGCCCCATCCCCATCCTCCAGGGATAGGGGAGGGACTGGAGACTGAGTTCGACCACATGACCAAAGACTTAAAAACAATCACGTCTCCATGATAAAGCTCTGGACCACGTCACTCGGCAAACTTTCTGGTTGGTGAACACACCAATTAGAGAGGTGGCACCCGAACTCCAACAGAACTCCTGCCTGGCCCCCTCTCACCCAGACCTTGCCTCTTCAGTCTTGACCATCTCATGTTGCTGTTCGTGGGTTGTATCCTACAGGGGTGTCCAGCACAAAATTGTCAGTTACCCAAAACCTTTTATTTTACTCATCGGTTTTCTTTAGTGTTTGTGTATTTAATGTGTGTGGCCCAAGACAACTCTTCCTCTTCCATTGTGGCCTGGAGATGCCAAAAGGTTGGACACCCCTGCTCTAAAAACTATGATCACAGAGCCTTCCAGAGTTTCTGTATGTTATTACAGAGATTCAGTGAACCTCAGGGGCCATGGGAAGCCCTGAATGTGGAGGTAGCCAGTGGGGGCAGTCTTATGGGGCTGAGCCCCTTCATCTGTGAAGTTTGTGCTAACTCTGAGCGGGGTCAAAATGGAATGAATTTTTTCTTCCAGGAAGATGGAACAGATGTATTTTTCACTATTCCTCCCCGTGAGCACAACTAAAAACTCTGGTCATCATATTGAAAACAAACATAAGAAAGATTCTGAACGGTGGACAGAAGGCGGCAAACCAGTCAGGGACCTCGGAGCTGAAGGACAACACAGTGGTGTTGTGGAGAGTATACAGGAAGCCAGCACACCCCGCCTTCTCCCCGAGGACTGCAACGAAGAGTCAGGGCTCTCGCCGCTGCCCAGAGCGTCAATCGCAGATCACTCGTCATATCAAGAACCACGAACACGGATTGGAAAGAGACAGACAGTCAACAGACAACAGTGCCGACTAGGCAAAATGATGTGACAAAGAGGTTAAGGCAGGTACCAGAAAAATATTTCAATGAGCATTTAAAACATGCTTGAAGCAAATAAAAATAATTATATAGACTCAGCAAAGACACAGAAAGTCTTAGAAAAACAGAAGATTTAAAAAGCAATCAAATGGAAATTTTAGAACTTAAAAACGCGAACACCAAAATTTAAAAACTCAGCCAAGAAACCAATCGGTGAACTGGAAGCTAGAACAACAGATGTTACCCCACCTGAATACAGAGATAGAAACTGACTGGGGGAATTTAAAAAAAATAAAAATAAAAATAAAAAAAGCTTCAGGGACCTGTGTGACTCTAACTAAAGACTTAAGATCTGTGCCATCCGAATCTGGGAAGGAGGCTTCCCAGCAGGGCCCACACAGCTAATTATTTTCATTCCCGCCCCCAAGATATTGCTGCTCACTCACCCACAGGACAATATGATACTAACTGCCGTGCCCAGACAGAGCGCGCTGAGCTCCGCGGGTTCTCTCTCTCTCTCCTTTCTAGAACACCTCGATCTTTCACATGTAGGCTATGCACAGTAACCTTCTTCCAAAGATTACAGGAGAGAGGGAGAAAAAATAGGGCAACTTCATAGGGAAGGAACCTGACAAACAGCCCTCGGTGAGGGAATCAAGATTCACATCAATAATGCTGAGTCATATTGATAGTATGTTGCTGAATGTGAACCAGTCAGAACTGGCACTTTACCTCTGTGGCCTTCTCCTAAGAAGGTCACCATAAGAAAAACATCAAGCCCTGGCTGGCGTGACACAGTGGACTGAGTGCCGGCCTGCAAACCAAAAGGTCACTGGTTCAATTCCAGTCAAGGCACATGCGTGGGTTGCGGGCAGTCCCTGGTTTGGGCACATGCCAGAGGCAGCCAATCAATGTTTCTCTCTTTCCTCCTTCCCCTCTCTCAAAAATAAATAAAAATCTTTAAAGAAAGAAAGAAAGAAAAACATCATATAAAACATCATATAAATCTCAATTGAAGGACATTCTACAAACCACCTGACCAGTACTCCTCAAAACTATCAAGACCATTCAAAAAAACCCGGGGGGGTTGGGGGGGAAGGCTGAGAAACGGTCACGGCCAAGAGGAGCTTGATAGATATATGTCATGTGGGGCCCTGGATGGGATCTGGGGCAGAAAGGGACATTAGGGAAAAAACTGAGGAAATCTGAATAAAGTATGAATTTTAGTTAATAACAGTGTATCTATATTGGTTAATTAATTGTGACAAATACACCACACTAATGTAAAGTGTTAACAAGAGAGGACACCAGCTATGGGATACTTAGGAACTCCCTGAACTATCTTAGCAATAGTCTGAAATTCAAAAATCTGAAATTTATTTTAAAGCATAAAACCAACTGAACTGAACTAGAAGACACCCCGTGGGTGAGAGGACTGCTGGTGGGATGTACGCTCCGATTCAGCCCGAGCTCCCAGGGAGCAGAGGCCCTCGGAGGTATCATGCCACTCAGCTTCCTACCTGGAACTCATTTTAAGAGCACCTCAAGTGTCAGTTACACAGGAACTGAGAATTACCCACTTGTACAAATAAGGAAACTAACAGGTGACCAGGGTCGCAGAGGCAGAGAGAGGGAAAAAAGGCTGAAACCAGAAGCCAGACTTGTTTCTCATGGCCACCTCTTTTGAGTCACACGCCTCTCAGAGCCAAGTGTAAGTGAACTCAACCTCCAACTGTTGGAACATACCTGTCAGTTCAAAGGATTTATTGGATCTCAACGTATCACATGCGGAGATGGGCATCAGGTACTGTAGAAATAATCAAAGGCAGAGTTTCTGACCTTGCACAGCTTGCACATCAAGAAAAGACTAGGTGAAAAATTCATTTAAATAAAATTTTCACACACATGCAAGCCCCAGGTGGTAGACTAGTGTCCAATAGCTTCAGCGCAGCGAACAGAGAGACATCTGTACACTGAAAGAACCAGATGTTTCCAATTCATTGTTGTCCAACAATTTCACAGAAGCTCAAGATCAGCAAAGGAGCAGGTGCAGGGCCACTCCTGGACCTTTAAACCTACAAAAGGGAAGCACTGTTTTTGCCCGCTCTCGGCCCTGCCAGAATCTAGTACAAAGAGCTTCTCTCTCCACCTTGCAGATTAAGATCAGCTTTCCACATTCTGGCTCGACAGCAGTAAAGGGAACCACCTCAGAACACAGCTCAAATTCTGAGACGCAGGTCATACAGACCGTGACAGTCAGTGCTACTTCCTGGAGGCCTCAGGCTGGTTTTTTCTTACTCGTACATGATAAATGTTCAGGTATTAACCAGAGCTAAAATCCAGAGACAAACAAGACTTGGCCCCAAGACTGTCCTAACTGGTGCAGGGGATGGTCAGAAGACTATGAACAGAACGTGCACAGTGTAGGAATCTATCAAGAGGGATGACCTGATTATCCAGGATGCTAATGTCAGAATATTACTTATTATATCCCACCAAGTCTACTTCCTCACGGCAAGGAGACGAGATGGCAGGTAGTTCATCTCATACACCACCTCCAGGTGCTCTTAGGGAGAGAATGCAAGGCCGTTTGGATCAGGTACAGTAATCACTGAGTGACTCATGTCTGCCACGCGGTAGAAGAAGTAGGGAACATGTGCTAACTCTGACCGTTGAAGTAGGAACACTAACTTGTTCGTCTGGAGACCTGGCCTTTCCACCAGCTTCTTCATTCTCAGCACTGGCTTTTATAACATGTTTAGACCAGAGAGGGTATTTTAATGAAGAATGGGCAAATTTATAAATGGACATATACACAAAGTTGAGTATTCAATTTGTGGGACCCTGATGCACAATTTTTATCCATTTATAAATGTATTAACAAGGTGGTCATACCTTTTATCAGATCCTCACAGAGGGTCTATAATCCAAAGAAAGTTAAGAACAACTATTTTCAGCTTTCAACATTCCATGAACATCACCCCTGGGAAGCACCCTGATTCTCGTTCAGGGCTTTGGACACAACTAATCACCTAGATGTGCTCAGCCAGAGTTTTCAATCCATCAGCCTCGTAAGAGGAGAACAGCGCTTCCTGCCCACAGAGCCACCCAGGGTGGAGCACTCTGCTCATTGCTCACCCGACAGCTCCCACCCAGGAAGCAGGGCTGCCCTTCTGGTCACTGGGCCCTGGCTGACCTCCAGCTCAAATCTTCTGGGTCAAACATATTAAGTAAGGCCATTAATGGCTTACTGTAATCCAGTCAATGGAAGGGAAATATGTGCATTAAGGTGTCTTTCAAGGATGAATAATAAGTAGACTGGGGTATTTCATTTCTATCTGCACGTTTTCGTTGATTACCTGCTTGGCTCAGGGCCTTTCAGCTCTCAACTCAACCGCACTACTGGTATTGTGGGGCAAATAACACTGTTGTGGGAGCAGCCTTGTGCCTGTAGGGTGCTCAGCAGCATCCCTGCTCTCTACCCACTAGATGCCAGTGCACCCTTGTCCGAGCTGTGACAAACAAAACTGTCTGCCAATAGTTTCCTTGGGCAAAATGCCACCCACTGAGAACCACTGGCCTGGCGGAATAAGGTTCCATATGCATATTTTCTTAGTATGTTCCTTTGCATTGACTGCACACGTCCTCTGCATATTTATGTATTTGGGTGTTCCTGGCTTGAGCTGTATTTTGTTTTAAAGTGATCGGGAAGATGAATGGACAATATTTTAGAAGACTCAGAATCCCTACAGAGGGTGGTACATTGCTGGTCACCACGCAGATGGCCAGAATCTTCTCAGAAGGCAATTTGGCAGTTTATACCAAGAGGCACACTAAACCCAGAGCTGACTCTTTTTAGAAGGAAAGAATCCAAAATAATTTTTAAAAGTTACAGGCATTAATGTCAGGCCAGTTACAATAACCAAAACTTAAAAGTCAACTGAATACCCAACGAACAGGGAAATGGTGAATTACATTTGATACCTCCACAGTATGGAACATTAACCAGCCATTTTTAATGATAAAACATTTTAGAGCAATATAAATTTTTATATACACATAATGCAAGCTAAGCAAAAAATGATTTAAAATTTTAAATGGTGGCTGCAATTATGTGAAAAATTTGTGTGAACTTGGGCACCAACTAGAGGAGTAAGTCCAAGAGAAAAGAGGCCTGAGGTCATGGGTGGCTGGAGGCCTCTGTACCCCAAACTTCCTGGGCTTCAGTCGTATTGTTTTTATGAGGAAAAAGAGAAGAAAATGCACCAACTACAACTTCATTCTCTATCCACAATTGTTTTTTTACTATCTTACTTACAGGTTTAGCTAACCTTTTAAGTTTATTGTTTTGTCTTGATCATAAAAGTACTCCAGTAAGTAAAACTGTAGTTTTGTTGTTGTTGTTGTGGTATCAGCTTAAAAGAGATGTCATAGCTACTAAGCTGGAGTCTCATGAACAGCACGGTGACTAAAGTTAATAATAATGTATATACTTGGGAGTTACTAACAGAGTAGCTGAAGTGTTCTCACCATGCACACAAAATGATACATTTGCGAGATTACAGATGCTTAATTATCCAAAATGCTGCTCCTTGACTGGGAGCCGCATTTCACAATGTATAACAAAACATCACGTTTTACACCTTAAAATATACACATCTGTCAAAGAGGCCTCAGTAAAGCTGGAAAAATAAATGTGCTCCATTCTCATTTATTTTTTGGAAATTTGGAAAGACACTCCACAGTGTCAAGAAAAGAAAAATGATATATTATATTGATAGACGCCAACACTCCTCTTAGTCTAGGAGCTGGACTTAGGTCACACCTGAGCGCTCCAGGAACACATTCTTAAAGGCTTCAGATTTACTGACTTACCCACCCCATCTGTGCTTTATAGAGTCTTAAATTACATTAAGTTTGAAAGTATGCTGAGTAAGTCATTTCCTGCTACGGAGAACTGCCCTCCTACTTATCCTGTATCTTGAGCCCGCCGGCTGCCACTTCCACGGCTTTCTGAAGCATTGCTGGTGCTTAAAATGTAAGAGGCATTATTTCCGAAGGATCTGCCTCCTCGAAGGGACCGGACATTTCCCACAGAGCTCTGCACGCTGTGACGGGCAGGGCAAGTGGAGCTCGTGCTGGACCCCATGTGCTGCCCTCGGCCTAAAACTGAGCAGCCCCGGCGTGCACGCACCTGACGCTGTGCACACTTACAGGTCATAGGAGAACTTCCTCTCCAGGTGGGTCTGGTTCTTCTGAAACTGGAGGACGTCCTGCCGCAGCTTGCCGTGATTCTTCTGCAGGGCCTTTAACTGGTCTACGCCAAGAGGAGGACAGGACATCACACAGGTCACCAGGATGGCCGTCCCACGGCCCCCTCCCAGCACTCACGACACCCCGGCCGCAAAAGCGCCCCTGCAAGACCTATGATCCCACAGGAACCGGCACCTGCTTCTTTCCCAAATGTCTCTCCTCTCTTAAATCTCCTTTTCGACCTCCAACCCTTAAAATGCCTATTTGTGTTTTAGAGGTCATAAACCCTGAGCTGTCCCACAAGGTCACACACGCTACCATGCACCCCCTGCCCCCGATTTCGACACCTGGTCAGATCCGCAGCCCCTCCCGGTGAGCCCCCACCCTTGGCTGCCAGGCCGCCAGCCGGCACCCTTCTCCTGTCATTTGTTCACAGCCAAGCTCCTCTCGGAGGCCTGGGTTCATTTGACCACCTATCCCTCTTATCTGGGAAACTGCAGCTTTCTTTGAGGAAATTCAGCTCCATCCCGGCTGCCAGGACAACCTGGCTCATAAAAGCAACATAGTAGGAAACAGAGACATTAATAGATATTTACAAGTCTGATAAGAACTGTAAAAGAAAAAATGGGGTGCTACAGAAACATTGCAAAAAGTCTTGTAAAAGCTCTGTAGAAAAAAGCAGCAGCTGACAAAAGGGTCAAGCTGGGGGCAGAAGGACAAGCTGCCGCAGAGGTGATACCAGAATGGGCAGGCGGTGGCAGCAGGGCCCCAGAGCACAGCGCTGGACAGACCCAAGTTCCCCAAGAGACTTGTCTGCGCAACTCGAGGCCTGCAAGGCTCTCTGGGGGGAAATAAATGGAAGTGAAGGAGTCAGTGAAAACGTAAGTCCATCTCAAAAACATTTATGTAATGTTCTCAAAAAGACAAAACCGGGTGGAGTGGGGTGGAAAACTGCTCAGTGGGTGCCTGAGGCTGAGGTCGGGGCGGGGACCGACTGCAGAAGGCAGGGGACTTTGTGGAGTCACGGACATGGGCTGTGACCGCGGGCGTCTAGCAGGCTCTGCATTTGCCAAAACGTACAGGAGGGCACATTACAAAGGGTAAACTTTACTGTGTGTGAATTATAGTTCAATAAACCTAACCTTAAAAAAAATTCTATGATCAAGACGAGCATGGGGCAACTACTGGACAGTGAAGAGGCGTGTACTGCCACCCACCACAGTGCGCGAGAGCATCAGAGCACGATGCATGAGAGACGCCAGACAAAAAAGGGCGCATACCGTCTCGTTCCCTGTATATAAAACAGTAAGAAAATGCAAACTAATCTACAGAGACGGAAAGCAGATCAGAGGCTGCCTGGGGCGGATGACCACAGGGCACAAAGCAACTTCGGGGGGCGATGGGTATGTCACTGTGTTGACTTTGGTGGTGGTTTCCGGACATGCACATTTACATCAACACTTGTCAAGCTGTGCACTTTAAATATGTGTAGTTTACAGTATGTCAATTATACCTGATTTAGAGCTGTTTAAAAATACTAAGTACAGTCATGCTCTGCACAGCGATGTTTTGGTCAGCGAGGGACTACATATATGACAGTGGTATACCACACAGCCTGGCAGAGTAGGCTACACCACCGAGGTTCAGGTGAGCGCCCTCTGTGCTGTTTGTACAATGACTAAATCACCTAACGACACATTTCTCGAACAGTATTCGTTGTTAAGCAGCACATGACTGTGCAGGAAAGGCGGCAGAGCATCCTCCCTTCTTGAGGTCTGATGAGGAGCATCAGCTCCGAGAAGCCCCCCCGCAACAAAGTAACCGACTTAACTTTGTGGGTTACTGCATTTCCCCGAATAATCTTCTCAGAATTCTAGACCAATCAAACTACAGGATGGCACAGAAGTAGGTTTACAGTAGTGAGGAGGCGAAACACAGAGTTTATTCTTGTGTTGTTATTTAATTACTATATTATTTCCATACTTAAAACTACAAACCTGCTTTTGCCCCACCCTGTATATATACCATACACACACACAGGTGACATACGTATCACAGATGTGTGTGTGGGTATATATGTATTTTTTTTCAACATATCAAAAAATGAGAGTGAATTCTCTCATTTTCTGTACAGAATAGCCTGTAATGTAGTCACTAACATTTTTAAAGAAAAAGCTCTTTAAGGAAATATAGCTGGGCAAAAAGAATGAATTAAAGATTACTCAATCACTCATAATCACACCCATCATCAGATTAGAATAAGAAACCCTAGGGAAGGACAAGCGGAAAGGTGGGTTCCCTCCTTCCTTAAAGGCCGGACGTCTGGTGTAAAGGAGGAGAGGGGGCTCACCTTGCAGGGTTCTGATGAGCCTCTCGCCTGTGGTGATATTATTCACCAAAACCGCCTGCAAGGAAGATAAACACAGAATGAAACACCCAGATACTAACCACTCAGAAGAGACCTAGTAAGATGTACCTGCTGGGGGCGGGGGGAGGATGGGGGAGCAGATCGTCCCCCACCAAAGCAGATGTCAGGAGGGAGGCCCAGGGCCGGCTCCTCCCCCGTGCGAGGCCCAGGCTGGCCGAGGTGGCAACTGCGGCCTCTCCCTGGGGAAGCCTGGGTCCTGTCACATCCTCAATCACAAGGCAAACTCCGAATTCCGGGCTGGCTAACAGGGCCAAGAGAAGAGGCCTTGGTGACCGCTCCTCCAGCAGCACAACGTCCTGCGTCTTTTTACTCTCTGGCCTCTTCTGTCTGTCCACAGAGTCCACAAGTTCGGGCAGTGAAGGGTTCACACCCAGCTAGTTCCACAAAGTTGGGAATGTTGATGACAGAGGAGGGAAAAAGCAACACAGGACTCAGGATAACAACGTAAAAAAAGTGAAAAGAAACATGAGTGTGCAGGTAAGCGTGACGGGCAGCCTGCATGCCCTGAGCAACCACTTTATAGCAGGTGCTCTGCGGAGAATGTCAAACCAGCTGTATGAGGTGGGCAGAATATCATTCCTCTTAGGAGGCAGGAAATCGAGGCACAGCCTGCTTAGGAAGCTCACGACTGCGTGGGGCTCTCTCAACAGCAAACACATAACGCCACAATGGAGCCCCAGCAGGCTGGCTCCAGGGAGCGGGCTCTCCACTGCTACTCGCCAAACTGGATCTAAACCCCACGTAGGACACCAATCTAGTGGGCTGCACCCATCCGGGGCTAAAAGCAAACAAACAAGAAAAAGAGGGGACTGGGATATTAACTGTCAGAGCTCATCACACCGTAAGTGTTGTTTTATGAGCACACACTGTAAACAGGGCCACAAAGGGAAAGTTTCTTACTGTGTCACACGCAACAGTGTTTGTAAAATGCCGTACACTGGTTAGGCTGCCCGTGACCTGAAGACACATTTCTGTCCCTTTCCTGGTTAATGGTGACAATGACAACCACATCACCTTCCCCTTCTGCGCTTCTGGGTTCCTCCTGGACCTCGCTGTGGAGCCCTCACTCTTTCTTTGTCCAGAACAGTTTTTTAAGTAAGGTATTTATGAATAAGGTGTGTGTTCCCCGAAATGAAATATGACCAAACTACTTAGGGTTTTTTTTAGGGGGGAGGGAGATCTGAGCACAGAACACTTCCCAGTACAAAAGAAAAGAATCAGTGATAACATCTTGTAGGACTGACCTCTCAGGGAGAGACTGTCAAGAGGGGTGTTTATAGATATTCTACACCAGCAAAAGAGACAACATACATGTATTTTCTACAAGAGCAGCCGAGAGAAGAGAGCCTGCAGTGACAAGAGGGTTCGCACCGCGGGGCATCAGGTTTACACTGCGAGCAGCTACTGCTGCTCTCAGAAACGGCTCGCACGCGCTCAACTGGAAACACAAAAGCTGGCCCTGTAATCCAGCATTCTCGCCTCTGGGTGCGCATCGGAAAGGACTCGAAGCAAGACCGTGATGAGCCGGCTGCATCCCCGTGCTTTCTAGAAGCACGAGAGCTGGGAGCCCCCTAGGGGACCCTCCGCGGATAAAGAAGGTGTGCGTACAGTGGAATATCATGCAGCCTTTAAAAAGGAGTGACACGCTACAACACGGATGAACCTTGAGGACAATCCAGTCACAAAAGGACACATTCTGTAGGATTCCACTCAGTAAAGTATCTAAAGCAGTGAAAGATCATAGAAACAGAAAGCAGAAAGGTGGATAGTGGCCAAGGGCTGGGATAGAGAGAGGAATTAGGGTGGAATGGGCACAGAGACTCAGGGTTACATGATAAAAAAATCTCTAGAGACCTTCTGCACAGGAACATGAGTATATTTAACACTACTGACCTGTACACTTAAACTTCACCTTGCCTAGGTATCGAAACCTCCCTCCCTCTGAACATCAGAGTCGAAACAAACAGAAAAAGGAACCACTTAAATGCTTATACCCTGATTATCTCTCAAAAACGGTTATCTCCTGGGTAAATCATTTCTAAATTATGGCAATTTGACTTTTGATCCTTCTCATTTGTTCCCCTCAGCGCCAGCCCAAAAAATTATTGCAGTCCGCACTCATCTGGGTGTTTAGGAAGATTCAGGAAGCGCTGCATTCCGAAATATCTGAAGAGACTGCAGTCTCCCATGTGACTTTATTCTTCCAAAGAAAATATGTGCATTCCTCCCCCTATTTACTTATGCATGGAAAAATACAGTCTCCACTTAAGTAAATGAGAAAAGGGTCATAAAATGCCACCAAGCTTTTAAATGCAGTTTTACTATTTATTGTAAATCTCACTGAATCATTTTCAGGAAAATAATGGAAATGCTTATAGCTTTTGGGGGAGATCATCAGAAAAGAAAAGAACACCTGTAAACAACCCGGTTGTTTTTCACATGCTGGTGAGAGTGACGCCAGGGCACTGCACTTCCTGGTGTCTGTGGACCTTCCCCTGGGGACGCGCAGCAGCAGACGAGGAGGCACAGCAAGGGCCCCGGAGAGTCACTGGACGCTAAACTGGGAAGACCTCACGATGAATCTTCCACGTACAAATTCATTCTAACCATTCTATTCTGGGAAACAAGTGTATTTGATCAAATTATTTCTGCATTAGATTCCGAGAAAAGGAAGCTCAACATTTCACAGTGAATTTCCAAAACAATAAATCTACAATAAATGATGCTCTGTAAGCTCAGTAAGATGTAAGTGACTAAATTTTAAAAATACTAACTTTTGAAAAGCTCACTGAAGCGTGATGCTGACTGCATTATAAAAAGAGGCAACTTTTCCTGCTATATTTGGTTTATTAACAAAATGATCAATATGCCTTGAAGGTGGGGGTCGCCCCTCACATAAGCCTTACTGAAGAGGGCCTTCAAACTACCTCACCCTTGTCAACCCACTGGCACTCCGGTGCCTGGGTAACGTCTGTGTAATGACGTTCCTGTTACTGTCTCAGGGAGAGAACCTTAAAATGAAAAACTTAATCTCAGTGATCTGGGCCTGATATTAAGAATGAAGGGAAAATATGAAATATTCATTAGTGTCTTCTTACCCCTCAGCAATTTCAAAATCTCCCAGAGTGATGCCATCCAACAGAAATATGTTAGTCACATATGGGAATTTTAAATTCTCTAGTAGTGACATTAACTTAAATAAAAAGAAACAGGTTGGGCAAAGGATTTCAACAGACATTTCTTCAAAGAAGATGCACAAATGGCAGTTTAAGTACATAAAAGATGATCCACATAAGTCATTAGAGAAATCACATCAAATTGAGAAGACACCACTTCACATACACTAGGATGGCTACAAGTTAAAAAAAAAAAAAAAGGAAATAAGTACTGACAAGGATGTGAAAGAATACACAGCTGATGAGAATTTCAAATGGTGAAGTCGCTGTGGAAAACAGGTGGGCAGCTCCTCAAGAAGTTAAACAGATTTATCACAGGACCCAGTAATTCCAGTCCCGGGGACATACCCGAGAGCGCTGAAAACATACATCCTACAAAAACCTGTCCACAGATGTTCACAGAAGAATTATTCATAACAGCCCAAAACTGGAAACAACTCAAATCTCCATCAAGGGCTGAATGGATAAACAAAAAGTGGTCTATCCATACAATGGAATACTATTCAGCCATAAAAAGGAATGAAGTACTGATACAGGCTATGAAATGGATGAATCTTGAAAACACTGTGCTAAGTGAAAGAAGCCAGGCAGACACAAAAGGAAACAAAACATGATTCTGTTGCTATGATATGCCTAGAACAGGCAAACCTATAGAGACAAAATAAATTAACAGTTGCCCGGGGCTAAGAGGAGGGGAAATGGGAGCTGGCTGCTTAGTGGGTACACATTCTTTGCAGGGGATGATGAAAATGTTCCAGAATTAGACAGTGGTGATGGTTGTGAATATGCCAAAAACCACTGAATGGAAAATGATAAAACGGTGAGTTTGTTTTGTGAATTTTATCCCAATTAACAAAAAGAAGACAGGGTAATAAAGTATTGGTATTTAATTCCATGTAATATATATCCACATCATACCAAGATGTAATCAACATGTAACTATTAATTAATATTTTACTTTTTTATTTATACTAAACCTTCAAAATCTAGCATATTTTATACGACAGCACTTCCCAACTGGGACATTTTCTGTGCTCAATAGCCACTTGCTGCTAGGGACAGCGCATTGCCTGAAGAATAAGGAGGGAGGACTGACAGAATCCTAGTAGCAGAGAACTGTCAATTATTTATTTACGGCATCCCACTAACTTTACACACTCAGTTACCAGATGAAAGTCCCTGTGCCTGACACTTCAAAAGGCCAAAACTCAAAATGTCCGAGTTTGGAGTAAAGAAAGGTTTACTGATTGAGAAGGTGCCAACCAAGAAGATGGGAAACCTGGTGGTGCCTCATATCTATCTGGAGAACCTATCCATCTGGAGAACGTACAGAGTCCAGGCTTCTTATATGTCAGGGGAAGGGGAAACGGGAGGGGCCCAAGGTGACTCGCCTGCAGACATCTGAGCACCAGCAGGGTCAGAGGAAGACTGTGAAACTTCCTGGTTCTTAGTCTGTATTTTTTATCCTCGCCTGAGGATATGTTTATCAATTTTAGAGAGAGAGGAAGAGGGAGAAAGAGAGAGAAAGAAACATCAATGAGAGAGAGAAACACTGATCAGTTGCGTCCCATATGTGCCCTGACTGGGAATCGAACTCACAACGTTTTGGTGTAGAGAAGGATGCTCCAACCAACTGAGCCCCCCCAGCCAGGGCATGTTCTTACTCTTTTGACTCTAGTTTATGTGAATCCACTCAGGTGATTCTGGCAAATCTTTGATAAGCAATCATTATTTTTCACCCTGACCAGTGTGGTTCAGTTGTTTGGGTGCCATCCTGCAAAGCAAGAGGTCGTCAATTTGA